CAGGCTGGAATGACACCTGTGGCTAAGCTATGATGAGCTCATCCCTGAGGATACTTTCTTGAGGATAAGTCGAAGGGAAATACTTTCTTTTCTCTGATGTATTAAGATGCCAGCACTTCCTGTAACTGTGTCTTTTCACATACCCCTGAACTGACCTTCCTATCTGCATCCCATCCTCATGGCTGGGCACACCACAGGAAACCCCAAACACCAGTCTCTGCTATGTAGCCTTTGCAAACCAAGGAGCTTTTGCTGATTATTATCAGCCTGAGGGTGGGGGGGGATGCATATTTATCAGCTCACCTAGCTGCTCCCACCCAGGGACCACCCATCAATCAGAAACATGGACCTGGGGGAAAGGAGGGGTAGAATGAATTACATAGTTCATTGATGTAGTTTGGGGAAAGGAGGGATCACACTTCATTGGAGAGGGAAGCAAGGGGCGGGGGGGTGTCATTCCAGCTGCTGTCTTGGGGAAGGATTGGTCTGATCCTCCCAGGAATAGAGGATGGTCTTGAGGAATACTCAGGGTAAAGTGACTAAGCATGAATTATTTTCTCCCTCAGTGACTAATGAAGTGTTAAGTGTGAAAGGGGGAGGGGTGTGACCTTACAGCTCTTGGTTGAATGCGCAGGCATTAGCACCCTGGGCTATGTACACTGTCCACCCTGGATGGAGACGTAATAATGACACTCCACCCCCACAGCTCTCCCTGCCTTTGGATTCCCAAAGATTCCCTTTGGAGGTTGGAGCCCCAATGGTGGGGGAGGGGCAATGACTAAATGGACATCCATGAGTGGCCCCTTGCCACTATGTAGAGGTGGGGGGAAGGCTGACCAAATGCCATCAGGTGACAGTGTTAGACAATGTGCCTACTATCCAAGTTTCCTGACCCTGGGTCTGGATCCCATGCATCCTCAGTCTGTAAGTTTGGGGGCAGGGGTTAAGGGTTTCCTTTTCAGCTGGGTCTCCATCACATCCATGCAGTGCAGACTGGACTCTTACCTCTGCGTGCAGCTGGGTGTGCCTCGAGTGTGTCACCTTTCTCACCATGACCTGGGGAAGCGGTGGATTGTCTTTGGCTCCTTGCACCAGGAGCAGGAAGACTGGTGGCTGGTCTCTGGGTCAGTAGCAGGTGCTGTGAGGAGCCATCCAAAGACAGGGCACAGAGAAACCTTGGCCCTGAGACAGAGAATGGTGTCTCTGGGCACATGGCATCCTCGAGATTTGCAGGGATCAAGGTCCGTGGGGGAACAAGTGCAGGGCTGTTTGAGATGTTGATGGCATGGCATTATGGTCCACATTCCGCACGTCAACCACTGTGCCTTCAGAGTTGTGCCGTGCATCCTGCTTCTTAGTGCCTGGTGTCCTGCCACTCAGGAACAGGCTGAGGGAGCTGAAATACAGCTCCACCTGTACCTGCACCGTTGGTTTCCCTGTCCTCCTGTCCTGTGCAAAGGTGCATGACAACTCTTCAAAGAAGGGCATAATGTGCCTCTTTCCCCCAGAGTTCCAGTTGGTGTCAACCATCCTCTTGTAACAGGTGTGAGTCCACCTGGTTTTTCCTCTGCTCCCAGTCCCGCGCTAGCCCTGTGCTCTCATCTCTGAGACAATCTGCTGGTACACCCCTTTGTTGTGTATAGTGTAGAGCTGTTCCTGGGTCTCCTTGTCACCACAGAGGGAGAAGAGTTCCTTTACCTCAGCCATGATCCAGTTAGCGTTCCAGCTGTAGGTAGTGGAGGAGGAACAGCAGATCTCTGATATGGTGCGTGGGTGCACCTTTGGGGTCTGGGTATCTATGGGTAGGTTTGGATGTCACTTGCTGGGGGGAGGGGGGTGTTTGGGCATATGGGTGTGAGTCTGGATGCATAGTTCTTTCTCTCCTCAGTTGTTTCCAGGTCTGGTCGGATGTGTCCCCTGATCCAGAGTGACCTGAGGTCTATTGGCCACAGCCATCAAATCCCCAAACTTTCAAGGGTTATCAACCTGCTGGCCTGAAGCCAGCTGCCCATGCCCCCTCAAGCCTTGAACTTTCCAGGGTCATCTGTGTCCCAGCTCAAAACTGGCTGGCTATGTCCACCCAAAGCTCTGAATTTTCATGGGTCAGCTACCTGCCAGCATGCACATTGGGATGCTAAAGGGTGACATGGTGGATCCTATCAATAGGATAAATGTACAAACATTCATTCAACCTGTAGGAAATTTACTGGAGAAGATTTCTGTCTCATGGGATGTGCTAGATTTTTCAACCATGTGCACCATTTTTAGTCCTGCAGAAACTGTGTGAACATTTGTATACCTGGGGTTTCTACTAGTGGAACTGTTATTCTATTGGTGGAAGTGTAATACTTGTACACACCTTTAGATGCCCTTTTCACTCCGGGGGAAGACAAGAGCCCTGACCTAGCTCCAGGCTCTGGAGACTGCTCTCAGATGGTTCCCAATAACATTATATTTAATTGTATTGGGTAGGTGTTTAGTTCCCAGTATAATACTATAGTTTTATTACACTTTGTTGCTAATGTTGTTCACTGTACCTGAGGGAGCTGAGGGGAGAGAAAGCAGGAGTCCAAGGGAAGACAGTTGGCACTGTGGTGACACAATAAGGACTGTTTAGAGCAGCATTTTCGACTGTGCTGTTTGGGATGTTGGTGTCCTGATCCTCTCCCTCTCTCAAGAGGGAAACCAGGAGCTGAGCAAAAGAAGGAGCTCTCTGAGGCAGGCGTGCTACAGATAGCCAGGGAAGCCTGGGACAAAGAACCAGGGTCTTGAAGCCAGAGGCTTGTCCCTCAAGAAGCCATACCAGGGCTGGCTTCAGGAAGTCCTCCAGGAGAGATATTGGACAAAGTTTTTTGGATAGTCCTAAGGCATAGATTACCCTGAAAGGGCGTGATCTGTGACACCTGATTCAGATATAATATAGTTTATATAAAGAACAAAAATATTAATTAGGATATAAACCGTTTGGTGCATTCTTATATAAATCTGATATAAATCTAAATAATAAAAGTAATAATCATAGTGATAATAGTAATATGTTTTAGCCCTATTTAGGGCTTGAGTCAAGTAATTGAGTATTAAAATCTTGGAATCCTTATCCTTCAGACTTGAACTACTATTCTGGCTGAGTAGCTCATCTGAAGATGAACCAAGATAACTGATTCTTTAAAACTGAGTTTTTAAACCTAGGTAGGAAGTCCTTTCCCCTAACAGGCTGATCACCTTTTCAAGGTCTTTTAAGACTTAGATAATTTAAGATTAATTTATTTCAAATTTCAATAATATTATTATTTCTTTATGCAAATGATTAAAATGATTTATGTGATTTTTATCATTTTAATCATTTGCATGATATGCCTTGTATATACTATTTGGTCACTTACATTTAATTTTAATTTCATAATTTAATTTGCCATTAACCTTTATTTCAATTAATTTTTTTGAGAATTTAATTTTGGTGGGATGGACTCCTCAAATCTTCCTTGGTTCTCAGAATGCCTCTGTGAGTCAACACCCTGCAGGATGGGTGCATAAGTATGAATCCAGAGATTGAGCAGTCACAGTAGACTGTGCACTGGCGAGGCACATATGTGCATACCTGAGTTGTAAGCCCTGGAAAAAAATGAGGTAAGGAAACTATCCCATGTTCTAACCCCAATAGCTGAGTGGTTAGGGCACTTGACTAGGTGGCAGAAGACCCATGTCCTATGTACCTGCCACCCCAAGGGTGTTTCTGTATCTCTTTGACTTCCCAGCATAATGTCTTAACTACCATATGACAATTTAGGTATTATTCAGGAATTTCTCCCAAACTTCTTCTGATGCTAAGCCAAAGTCACTTGCATTTAACAACTATTACATAGAGAGCAATGTTTCCACTCCACTGGGAGCAACGGTCCATGCTAGAACTAGGGCTCTCTTCCAGCCACTGTAGCATCCATCTCATCCTAAGGCTTTTTTTCTTTTTCCTCGCCTAACGTATTTCCCTTTCTTGGTTGCTCAGGACCCCATTTGAAAAAGAGTACTGAAAGGGGACTGGATAATACTTAACTTGTGACCTGGTGGTTAAACATTGTGCTAGGAACTACCCAGTTTTGTTCAGTTGTATATTCGTGCCTACCATGAGCACATATGCACACCTGTGTATGTGTGCAGGCACTCAATCTATGCACAAATGCTGGCATATCCACCATGAAGTGGTAATAGAATTGGAACCTGTGCATAAATACCAAAAACACCATTTATATGGATGGCATCTGCACTTTAAGTGCACCCAGAGAAATAAAATTTCACCCTTGGCCCTCACTTTTGGCCAACTTCTCTCTGAAATTATCAATCTGCAAATGTAAAGGGTGATAATTTGCAAATGAGGCAGGGAATGCAAGGAAGTGAGGGGTCTTGAGTGGGGATAATAGGGGGTAATGGATGGGGTGTGGTGGGACAGGAAGCAGAATGGGGGGAGGGAAATAATGAATAGGAGCAGTGAATAATGCAGAGGTTAGTGACTGTGGAAGTGAGTGGGCTAGAATGGAAAGTGTGTGGGGAAGAAATGAGTTGGGGGTGAACACTGAAGAGGCCGGACTGGGGAGTGAGGAGGAAAGGGTAAATAGTGAGTCATAAAATAAAGTGGGGTGAGGGTCAGAATTGTTTAGTTCAGAGGCAGATCTGTGGAGGTGCTATGACTATGTAATGCATGCAGTAAGGTCTTTGCTCTCTGCTACCATGGCTCTTCGCTCTCTGCATCCCTCTTTTTCAAAATCTTAGATCTGCTACTGGTTTAGTAAACATAGTTCACTGACAGAAACAGGAAATGCAAATGGGCAGTCACCATTTGTCTGACCCCCAGCCTGTGCCTTAGGTGGGAGTGGGATGGCATGTTATTTCTAGCACAGGTCACATTCCTACTCTGGCACCTGCTGGCTGAGAAAACCAGTGTTCAATTTTCTTCCCCTAACTGCACACTCCCTCAGTAATACTTTCATTCCCTTAAGCAGTTTCACTTACTCCACATCACGCTTTCTGATTGTTTTTCCAGAGGCCATGACCTCAGCCACTTTAGAGACGATTGGGTCATAGTTCATACTGGCCACTGCAACCACCTCATCGTTCCTACAGAAAAGAGCAGAAAATTTTAATGGTGTCTTCAGTGGTGATAATGGTCAGTTTTTCTCTCATAAATGGTAAAATACTTGTTGGAATATTTATAACATAACTATCATTTCCCCATCTAGGGAGCCCTCAGTAGTTCTTTGTGTTTGCCATCCTGACTGTGAGCAGTGTACATGATGAAGGAAAGCAGCAGGTCAGTGAGGAACAGGCAGGCAGGGATGAGGAGTGGCCAGGATCTCACGCTATATCCCCCAACACACTCCATAGCACTGCCATTGGTGCCAAGAGGGAAGCAAGATGTGACTGAATCACAGTTTGGGGCTGGTTCTGTGCTGGGGTATCACAACAGTAACTTACTCACTGGTCAAAGCAATAGCTCCCCTGCTTTGGGATTGGGTGCCAGAGCAAAAATCATCCCAGAGTTCTGGATGCACTAGAATCTACTGACGAACATAAGCAGACTGTTTGAGGTAGAGACGCGTGGGCAAGGAGGACAGAAATTATGTCACGTGGTGGATGTTCCAGAAACAGGAGATCTCACCTGAGCCATGAGATTTGAACTTTTAAAAGTCCCAACTGAAGAAAAAAAACTTTAGTTTGGGACAGGTCTCTGGTGGAGGCATAGGGGTGCAAGCCTGTCGTGGCCCCGAGAGCCGAAGACCCCAGCAGACCCCTCTGGTGGACCCCAATCTCATCCCCAGCACAGAGTTGGGAGGTAAGTGGGGCCTGTGGCAAGAGGGCACTACTTAGGAGCAGAAGGCAGTTGAGAGGAGTTGAGGAGGGTCACCCCTTCCCCCGCCAGCTCCTACTTAGCCCAGCCACTGAGAGAGCTGCACGACTGGAGCTGTGCAAACAGGCATGCTCTGGGCCTTGGCGTGCGAGTTAGTGTATGAGTTTGTGCAGGAGGGTGCATGGAGGGGCTATCAGCAGGCTCTCAAGCCCCGAGTTGTCCCCGGGGGAGTCACACAACATACCCCATGCCTGCTGTGCCCCTGGGCAGCGGGAGCCCCCTCACTGCGGGATAGACCTCTGGCGCTCGAACTCAGGTAAAGGGATCAAGGGATTAGAACTCCGCAGCAGTTCAAGAAGCCGGGGAGCCAGGGGACTTCCTACAGGCAGCTACTCGAGTCTGTCTGCCAGATTGCAGCAACAGTATCACCTGCTGGAGAAGGCCATGTCCGGGTAATCATACCCACCTGGTCTCCTACTCAAACAAACACCTAGGAGCCATGTGAAAAGGGCCCACCCAGCAATATCGTGATGGGCATGCGCTGCACTCCGAGGCTTCCTGAGTACTGAGGAGGAGGGTAAGAGGGACGCAAAAAAAGTGTCACTTACTTTAGGGACTCAAAAAAATGGCTAGCTGCTGTTGCCATGGTGTGTCTGCCCATCCTAGTGGGAAGAAGGTGCTGGGACCTGGGGGATTTGCAGCCAACCTGTGACTCTCATCACATGTGTCATACACACCCTTTTAAAAATCCTACA